GAATATTTTGTACTGGAAGTCATGCAAAACTATTTTAGCACATTAATACAACTATGTGTCCATGCTGTTTTTCAGGAGAAGAACCAGAGTCTCAACTCCACAGTCACGGCTCTGTCCACACAAGTCGGTTCTCTGCAGGTCAGGGAGGAGGAGCTCAGTTCCATGCTCAAACTCAAGGTACACATGTTAATCTTTGCTCTCTATATAATCTGCTGGTCTTGCATCAATTTATAATGTCCCATCATTTTATCTAATTATTCTAACCCTTTAGGACCAAGATATGGCAAAAGCCTCGAGTTGTATACTCGATCTCTCAGGGCGCCTGCAAGACCTTGAGACATCTCTGAAGAAGAGTCGCTCACAGGAAAGCAAGCTCCTGAAAGACCTGGAGGAGAATAAAGTGTCTTACAAGGAAGCCAGACATGAAGTCACACAGCTCAAAGGTACATTATTAAAACTTTGTGTCATTTTGTTGCCCATTTACTCTCGTTCTTTAGAGGGCAGATGATCAGAGGACACTGATATTGTTAAAAGAAAAAAAAAGGATAATGGAACAGTAGTCTGCAACTCTGCTCATAAAAAGGAATTGAAAGCCTTTTGGGAATCAGATTTAGAAGATCTGCCCTTATACGTTGTCTCCATGTGCTCCATGTGACATTTTTAGTCTGGATGTATGGCTGTATATTTTTTTTCCAGCATTCACAGAGTTGTGCACAATAAATTCTGTTAACACAGACTACAAGACACATACCATTTAGTGCTGACACATAAAGCATTGAAAACACAGGAGCTTTTTATGAAGGATCGTTATTAAATAAACTCTAATGGTATCTGAACTTCCAAGATGCAGGTTGGACAGTATTTTTCAAACAGAGAACTTGTCCAACCATCAAATTACACACTCCAAAAAACAAAGATATTCAGCAGAAAATCTGGAAGAAAAAAAAGTTTGGCCTTTCTGTTAAAAATGATTTAAAAATGAGTTATCTGTTTATTTGCATGATCAGTCGTTTATCATGTTCTTCTTCTATGTCGTGCTGTGCTCATAGAGGAGCTACAACAGCAGGTAACACAGAGCAGCACCCAGAGAGAGGAGATCATCCGCCTCAAGCAAGAACTCCATCTGCTTCATGGGGACACCCTGACAGGTACATCGCAAACACACTGTCTCACTGTTTTTCCTGCTACTTCATTGGTGGAAACTTCATGATGTATTTCTTGATATGTTTTTGACGTATAAGTCTCTTTGAACCCTGAAGGCTGGCTGGATAGATTTAGGACTGGCTAGTGTTACGTAGAGTTCTGTGTGCTTTATCCTGGTATATGGTCCTCATCTTTGATATTATATAATGAGTGAATATCTGTATGATAGCTATTTTAAATAACTGTTTTCGTTTTCATTTATCTGATGAACCTCTTCATCATTTTTTCTAATGTAAAAAAGACCAAACATATTGATGTGACAGTTATATGAAGTGGTTCTAGAAACGGAGAATAATCGGCATTTCATTCTCAGTGAATGACTCGCAGTAGATGGCGTCAGTGAACAGTGACAGTGTTAGATTCAGTAGCCAGGAGTATGTAGAGATAATGAGGTATGCAGTCCTGTCTTATCTCAGCAGTCTGCTTTTCTCGATAGAAATCTGTAGGGTAGATTGTTTCAGATACCTCTCAGCCTGAGAAAGACACTCTCCTGCAGAGATAAGCACAGCATTTGATCTCTTTGACCAGGGGAGGGAAACAGCTGGAAAGATGAGCTGCTAGAACTGGCCCACTCCAAACAGGAACGCCTCATGTCTGAGCTCCGCTGCCTACGACAGGTATAGTTTCTAACATGTAGTATTTCCCTGAGAGTACTGAACAAAACATCATAAGCGTGAACCCATAAAATATACTGTGGTAACTGGAGCCCAGCTCTGGAAGTACAGCTTTCCTCATTCCTCCAGCATAAGGTGACTTACCGGTTGGACAACATACCTCAGTGTTTCTGCAGTTACACAACGCAGATGTTTGACTCTGGGATACTGTCATTGTCTAGTGCTTCTTGAAGTAGTAACAGGCTATAAAGGGTAAATAAAGAGAGACAGTGGAACCTCAGGCACATGAAGGTCTCCTGCTTCTCCTGTAGATTAGTAAAACCCCTGAACTGAATTTGGCTGATGTTTCTTTTGAGCCATTCCCATGATTTTCTCCAGTTCTTTTGAAACTTTTTTGTGTCAGAATGTGCTTCATGTTTTCATGTAATTGCAGTCATTTTGTGTCTATAATTCAGGGGGAATGCAGTAATTTCAAATCTATTTCCAAGTGTCCAGAGTCTCTTTTTTTGTTACATCTCTGTCTCATTGTCATCTAGGTACTTGATATAGTGTGCCTCTAAATGATCATTAAACATATTTTTATATTAAGTTACAATTTTTAGGTAGTTTTCATCTGTTTGTAAGTGAGAATCTTTAAATCCACTTTTACTACTAGAATTTTTCTTTCAGCGTCTCTCTCTTTTCAACATAAATGCAGACAATTTACTCTGGTTTGAACCCCGCCTGTCATGTGGGGTCATGTTTTTAATAATTGAAAGTTTTAAGTTTTAAAAAAATGTATTCAAGTGATCATGTTTGTGTGTGTGCAGGTTTGTGAGAATCAGCAGAATGACCTGCAGCTGATGCAGCTGAGTTGTGAAACCCTGAAGGGGAAGACCAGTCAGGGATTATTGGGCAGGTGAATAATGTCCTAGGATAACAAACAAAACAGCAAAAAAAGTGCAAACCATGTAACAAAAATATGTGAAGGAACTACTTTCTGGTAGTCCTGACCCCAGTATAGTAGCTTTTCCACATATTGTTGTTCAATGGTTTGCACTAATTTTGCTGCTTTTGGACTGCTCCTGTTAGGGGTGGCCACAACAGATCATCTGCCTCCATCTCACCCTCCCCTCCATAGAGTCTTATTCTGTCTTCTTCACTATGTCCATCCATACTGCCTCCTGTCTTTTTGGCAGTGCCACTGTTTTGTGCAGCCAGAAATACATTTTAGAGCCCACAGTTATTAAAACCACAGAGGCTGCACAGCTGGCAGCAGGTGGTTTAAACCAACATGGTTACAGACCCTTTGCAGGCATATCATGTCACAAACCCATTCCAGCAAACTAAGCTTTCACTGAGTAAATATGTGTGGATTATATTGTTGGCAGTAGGTATACTGTGGGGTTTTTAGAGACTCTGGACACTGATAGCAGCACACATACCCACAGCTGGCTTGTTGACTGGACAACATACTAAAAAAAACCATAAACATTCAGTGTGTGTGTCCAGTACAGTCCAATGCAGGAATGAATTAATTGTTTCATAAGACTCAGATAATGTCTAAATGTCTAATTCTTAAATCTCAAATTTAGTAAGTGTCTGTGTTTTGTATATTAAATTGAATGTGGTAAAGTTGTGAAAAATCCTTCTAGATTTTTAACAGGAACAAAAGATTAATGAATGCGTCTCTCTCTGTGTTTCAGCCAGGATGAGTTAACATGTAACTATCCGAAGGATGAGTCACCTTCTTCACTCAGAGGGAAGAACTTAAAATCTGTGTATGATGATCTGCCTGCAGATGCTCTTCAAAGCTCAAACAACTGTAACCAGGGAGTCTTCTCAGCTTACTTGATGGATGTAAGACAACTTTATAAAGTCTCTCTACAAACCTCTTGTTTGTCAGGGACAGCATATAAGAAGAAAGTTTGTAGGGAGGGTGGGAATGGGGCTAAAATAGGTTGTTTAAGACAAGATGGGGCGATGTCAAGGGGCGATCGTGGCTCAAGAGTTGGGAGACTGACAACCTTCCTTGTAAGGTTGCCGGTTCAAGCTTGGACAGTCTCGGTCATTGTGTCCTTGGGCAAGACACTTCACCCGTTGCCTACTGGTGATGGCCAGAGGGGCAGATGGCGCGATATGGCAGCCTCGCTTCTGTCAGTCTGCCCCAGGGCAGCTGTGGCTACATCTGTAGCTTGCCTCCACCAGTGTGTGAATGTGTGTGTGAATGGGTGGATGACTGGTTGTGTAAAGCGCTTTGGGGTCCTTAGGGACTAGTAAAGCACTATACAAATACAGGCCATTTACCATTTTACAAGTTAAACTATGGGGGTACACCAAGGACCTGTATATGTTAAATTCAACTGTCAGTCACCCAAAGCTACTCTGATAGAGTCCAAAAACAAAAATATTGTGCTAGAAGCAAGTCTGTGTTTTTTTTATATGGAAACCGGAATGAAATACTTTTGACCACACAATTTAGGCTGCTGACAGTTCTGAAACATGCATTGGCAAAGAATGATGACACAATGGAATTGTCTTTTAATGCTGCTCAGGTTGGAAAAATTAAGATATTTCTGTTTCTAGTTGTTATTTTAAGCTAAACTAGCAAGATTTTAAGTAACTCCTAATATAAGCACAGAAAAAAGTGACGTAAGGTTTTTCAGGCATTGCAAAACAAATCCGTCACCATATTGAAGTATTCCATTAAGACCAAGAGTTCTTTCCTTCTCTCATCAGGACGGCCCTCTTTCCAGATGCTCTCTGCAGCAGCTGTTAGATGAGTCCAGGCTGGTTGTGGCTGGTTCAGGGAACAGCATCCTGAGACTCCACAGTTCTTTACAGAATAGCAGCCAAATGGTGAGTTGTAGCCCACTGACCCTTTTTATTTCCAGGAGTCCCAGACACCCCAACATCACCCAAGTACCTCCATCCTCAAGTACCTTCATGACTTTCGGCCTCTTTTCATCTCTCTCTCTACTTATTTGTGTTCATGGGGTGTGACATGAAAAGGATAAAAATATTCAGTTCCTCCTGTTTGGGTGTGTTAATCATACCAGCTTGATCTTATTTCTTTTTCTCTAACAGACCAGTCCAGCTCCACCCAAAGTTCGTCCTCAACATAACACCAACCAGCCAGTAAATCACATGGACTTGATGACTCAGCTGAAGAATTGATTTTCCTCATGTATGTTTCAGTATTTACCAAAGTTACACAACTGTTGAGCACTAACTTTGAACTGAAAAATCAGTGTTACTATATTAAGCACTGCATGCACCACTTGTTGAACCTTAAGGCCTCCCAGGAAAAGGTGAAGTATAAATACAGACTGTGAAATGTTTTTATATCACTGATATTGTTTTAAATTGTGAGATGTGAATATGTCCTCTGTAAGTATTTAAAAATATAAAGACATACAAAAATGTCATTGATTAACAAAGCCAAAGAGTGTATTTTTAAAATCTTATTTGTGGTTTAAAGGCTGAAACGTGTGGAGTGAGTGAGATGGGAAACCAGTCCTACAGGGCTGATGGGTGGTGTGTCCTTGTACCGTTTTTCCAGTTTCACGGGCTACAGATCAGCCTGGTGACTCAGCCGAAATGTCTGCGTCTTTTAATAGCTTTTACGTTTTTTTGTTTGTTTTTTAAATAAAAATATCTGTATATAACCTACATGTATGGTACTTTATTACCTGACAGTCGCACACTTTTTTTTCATTTCCATTGTGTTATTTATGGGTTTGGATGGAAGCTGCTTTGTTCGGACAGCTTTTTTTAAAGCATCCTGTGGTAATTTGAAGGAGCTAGCCAAACCAGCAGGATTGTGGTTGACGTGCGCGCGCCGCACCTGACTCACCTTTGTGGTTTAACGAGGCGCGAGAGCACGGACAAGGATCCTGAACCTGTGTGTGGGACCACTTTGGATTTATGTGTCTCTATTTTTCGGTGAAAACATGAGTAAAACGAAGAATAAGAGTGATAATAAGACGGAAAAGGCTTTGGCTGCGGAGAAAGAACAGTTCGGAAAACAACAGGTTAGTCACTTTGTTCCTGTGACGGATAACTTTTTGATGTCTTTCCCCCCAATCTGTGGATTTTAAAGTCTTCCTTATTGTTCACACCGTGTGCTTGATGATAACTAGTTTTAACTGTCAAATGGGTACTACCAGACAGTATCAAAATGTCAAATTCTTCACTTCTTCTGACATATTAGTGGAAAATCTTGTTAAATATATCACGTGTCAAGGAAATTCACTGGTGTTATTTCTGTCATGTCTTAATCTTGAAGTTCAATCTGATGTGGCTGTGTTAACTAGTTCCTCGTGTCCTGATTGCTCTTCTTTCATTTCTTTTAGCTCCACAGCATCAGCAAAGCTGTCACCACAGCTGAAACACCACCAAAAGACAAACATGTACGCAGTATCCTTTTAACAGCAGGTTTCCTGCTAACCAGGCTTACTGGATATACAAAACAAATACAATTTCATATATACTGTACATCTTTATTTTTTTTATAAATAGCTCATGCTGGCTGGCTTATTGGGACAATGCTAACATTTGCTAAGGAAATAAAACCGAATCCCTGTAAGGTATTTGGGTAGGCTTCATAGGTATCAAATTAAAGAAAAGCAACTGAGATTCGGCTTTTGGGGATCCTCAGTGTATGTGCTAAATGTCACATTCTGGAGAGCATGTTGAGACATTTAGACATTTGAATGCATGAGTGAAAAGTTGTTGGCAATACCGGAGGGGGGGGAAAAATCAGGACCTCTCCTTTAAAAAAATGGATTATTAATTGCAAAAAGTCACAATATGCCTTTGATCAACTTTGCTGAAAGTCTTTGTAAAGTTGTCAGTTAACATATTTTAAAGTTAACATAACATTTTCTTTAAAAAAATTATCTAATGGAGACCCTCAACACCTTTTTTTTAGTTATCAACTTTAGTTATCGCCCACCTCTGGCAAATAACAGCCTGGGAAATGTATCAGTCAATCAGTTTAGATACGTGATTTCTTGAGTTTTCAACTGTCCAACACTCTTCAACTTTGATTATACATGCAGTAATGTTTGGAATATTTCAGTGTATGGTAAAGTGGTGAACTGACCAGCAGTTGTCCCTAGATCAAAGCCATAGCGTGTGTAAAATATGTTGACTGTATATAAACCATTGCTTTCTCTCCCCCTTTGTCTTAAGCTTATCCACTGTCACCATCTCTTTTTTAAAAAAATAATAATTGTGATGTTGATCTAATTGAGGAACTGAGGGATTCTATCTCTTCATATGATCCGAGCGGTGTCAGTCTCTCCTTTTATGATGAAACTGCTCAGTTATGGCAATCAATGTTATGCTTGTGTTTATTGTCACTTAGAAAACCTCATGCAGTTATTGAACTGTATTAAACTGTTACAGGGATTTATTAAGCTGTCAGTATAATTTAAACAGAAAACAAAAAGAGATGAGAGGACCAAGTGGTCGTCATGGATCCAGGAGCGTTAAGTCCTGATTGTGGTGGTGTTTTTGAACCAATTTCACATGGGCACCACCGGGCATCTACGGTGAGCAAAGGGAGCCAAGGGGCCAGTGGACTCTCAGAAGACCTGTACAGTAGCCAGAGTGACTGAAACTGATAGCCACAGAGGGGTGGAAGCACACCGCTCTGATGTGCAGGGGGTTTGTTTGAATTACAATTCAGAATGAAAGCTTAATAGAAAAAGTGAATGAAAACGACTAATTCCCCCCAGGATTTTTTCATAATTTTTGAAAGCCCAAATCATAAATTGTATTAAAATGCAATAAATCAGAATCAGAATACTTTATTAATCCCGAGGGAAATTAGGGTTACAGCAGGCAGCACGCTAATGGCGCATGCGCACTTACAAAGGAACCTTCTGACCAACTTTACACAAACATCACATTGGGGAGACATGTCAGAAAGGTAGGCTGATAGGAAAAAACAACGAAAATACATACATGAGGTAAGAGGAGGAGAAAAAAAAAACTCCACTCAGACTGAGCTCCTAGTGGGAGAACAGTTTGATAACAGAAAAAACACCTCAGCACAAAAGCACATGACTATCAATACACCATAGAAACACAAGACAAGCAACAGGGGCGGGTAAAGGGTAAGAGAGAGCCGGTGTAGACAGCGCATCCGGTCCTGCAGCATCTGGCTGGTCCAGTTGACTGCCATCTTCCCCGGTAGGGCACAAGCATCGAAGGCATTGGAAAGGGAGGGGGGATGAGTGAGTGCTTATCAGTGTAAGTGTGTGTGTGTGCGTGTCCATAGTTTAGCTGAGACAGTGTCCTTCGGCCTATCAGGCTAAGTAAACAGTCCTCCAGCCAATCCAGGTGTCCTTGCATGGGATGGGAAGAATAGCCGTAACACAGTCGTTATCAGGAGACACCCAGTAAGTGGGGCCTTAATTTACAAAATGAACATATTGTATTTAGTACAATTTCAAACTAGGGACTGAGTAAATGAATGTATCGGGAAAACATTTACTGAAGTCATAATTTAAATCTTCTCAGATCAACCAGATATTCTCAGATTTTTTTTTTTATTTCAACCAGAGCAGTCACCACCCTGCCAACCACTTAAAAAGGTTGCCTGTTGAAGGCTTTGCCACCCTGCATTCATTTTTCAGACAGTTTGACAGTCGACTGCGATAGTGTGTCCGTACTTTCTTTGAACTGTTTGTGCATTGGTACTTGGGAGTCTCCTTGACAGCTGTACAGATATCATCATGGGAACTCATAAAGAGGGTGGAGCTACGGCCTTCTGGTCGTATGTCTTGAACCTACCTCTATCCAGCAACTCCATTGTGAGCTGGAAGTTTTGCTATCTGGTTCACAAAATCCTCAGGGATGGACACAGAAATGTAAGTTCAGTTTTTTGCATTTCCTTCACCTTATACTCTCCCGCGCTCCGGTTGGTGATATGTAATCTCTTGTGTCTGTTTGATGTACAGGTGGTGACGGATTCTTACAGATACTGTCGTAATGTGAAAGATATGGGCACCCTCTGGGTGAGTAGCTGCCATATTGAAGCTGCAGCTTATATTTAAACTAGAGAATACAGTTTGGAGGTTCATCTATTAAAAAGCTTTATTTTTTTTTATATTGAGAGTTTGTAAAAAGATCTGCAGTTACATGCATCTTTGTTTCACCTTTTTAAGATGTTGATTTCTAGAATATAGTCCTTTTTTGTTTGTTTTTGTTTATTTTTTTTAAATTGGTGGTTTTGTTTGTCCATATTTGGAAACATCAGTATGACTCGCATTAATATTTATTAAAATATTTGTGTTGACTGAGTTGGTTGGTGGGTTAGTAAGGTGATTCAGTTTAAATATGATTGTTTTCTAAGCAACAAACTCTTTTTTTTTTTTTTCTTCTTTCTTTTTTTTTTGTTCTGTTTTTTTCTTTCCTGTCCAGGGAAACTTGCATGATCGATATGGGCACATTGTCGCCTTGTCTTCCAAATACCTCTGCCAAAAAATGGAATTTCATAAAAAGGTAATTACTCATAATTTTAGTGTTACGTTGGAACAAAGGTACATTTTTACAGCATAATCGATGTTTTGTTGCTTTCTTGTTTCAAGAACTAGAAACAAAATGCTCTGTATTGCTGTTCCTACCCACATGCAGACTTACA